CAGGGGGACTCATTTTGCATACATTATGGAAATGTTACTTTTGAATGTTCTGAAACAAGAAGTAACATTTAAATGTAAGATGAAAATGATAAACATTTGAGAAAAAAGGCTCCATTAACAATGTATACATAGGCTAATATTTTTAGAACATTAAGGCCAGATAACTTTGAAATGAAACGGTCTAATTGACGTTAAAGGTAGGTGTTTTTAGCACTTCATTAACAGACGAAAAGTAAGTTCCTCACCTCTGACCATACACAATTTGGACAAAGCAACTTTTTTATTTTTACTTTAACCAGTAACACATAACCCATAACACATGTGTTGCAGAAATGACACCATTTACCTAAGGCAGTTGATGCTTAATTATTAATTAGTCAATATTTTGATTGTGTCACTAACACACCATGCATGTTTGTCTTCAAAAACCTCTAAAAACATTTAAATGTGTTATTTTAAATACACAACACAATGATAATACCACATGAGACAATGCAAAATCCATGTTTGTGTTTTCTGCCGTTCTCATTAATATTGTGTAATATTGTGTATCGGTCTGATAACAGATCAGCTATGAAAACAAACATGTGCTTCTGTTTTGACTGGCCCGTATGCACTCACACATGACTTGCAGACGCTCATGCTGAATAAACAGCTCTGATGATGGCAATGGAAACGTGTGATTGTGTTCTGAAGTGAACTGAATAAATAATGTTCTCCAGTGTACCTGTGTTCCTCCACTCTGAGCTCGGCCCAAACACAGCCATCAGTCAAAACACAATGTATTCAGACACCTCCAACATTTCTCACATTATCACAGTTTAGTCGCTATAGTTTAGAAAATGGTAATAAAACATGAGCAGAACTCAGAGTTCTCAGATCAGTTGATATTTCACTGGTTTTGTCCGTCCTTCTGTTAGACTCTCACACATGAAGTATGTTGAATATCTGTCAGCTGTTAAATTTAACTACACAATTAGATAATACCAGTTTAGCTAAATTACCAAGCAATGCTTAATTTTGTTCAGTCTGTGGTGTAAAAATGTGCATTAGCAATTAAAGGAAATACACTTCAGCAAAACATAGTCAAGTCAAAGTGTCTGAATCATTTTTGGTCCCAAATTTTTAGTTACTGGTAGTCACTGTATGAAGAACTTTTGGGTGTAATATGTCACAGTTTACTTTATTTTGCTCTCCTCACTTACATAAATGAACTATAGTGTCCTGCACACACTAATAAAACATATCAAAAATGATATCTGGTGTCTGAATAATGTTTGGTTTGAGTGTATATGAACCTCACCGTGGGCCGCTTCTCAGGAAGGACCATTGTTGTTGACACACATAAGGCAAATTACAGGCAAATGGAACAAAACGAGTACATGTCTCAGCTTTAGGCTTATATTGGGTCACCGAATCTTCTGATAGGCTCTGCTCTTTGTACAACAATGACATCAACAAAAGTATTTCTGACTGGAAGATCCCTAAACAGGTGTGCCTGAGATCGAAACCATTTTAAAGGGATAGTTCACCCAAAAATGAAAATGATCCCATGATTTACATGATTTACTCTCCCTCAAGCCATCCTAGGTGTATATGACTTTCTTCTTTCAGACGAACACAATCGGAGTTATACTAAAACATGTCCTGGCTCTTCCAAGCTTTATAATGGGAGTGAATGATACCTTAGATTTTGAAGCCCAAATAAGTGCATCCATCCATCATAAAAGTAAATCCATACGACTCCAGGGGGTTAATAAAGGCCTTCTGAAACAAAGCCTTGTGTTTGTGTCAGAAAAATATCCATATTTATCACTTTAAAAAACTATAATCTAATAAACTATAATAATAAGAGTTTGTTGCCCAGCTGTATTTGTTTAAACCGCGAGAGGCGTCGACTCTCACCTGAGCTTACGCTACTCCTAGATCATGTGTCGGGTCAGAGGTCACTCGTCATGCGTCGGGTCAGAGGTCACTCATCATGCGTCGGGTCAGAGGTCCCTCGTCAGGCGTCGGGTCAGAGGTCACTCGTCATACGTCGGGTCAGAGGTCACTCGTCATGCGTCGGGTCAGAGGTCACTCGTCATACGTCGGGTCAGAGGTCACTCGTCATACGTCGGGTCAGGCGTCATGCGTCGGGTCAGAGGTCACTCGTCAGGCGTCGGGTCAGAGGTCAGGCGTCATGCGTCGGGTCAGAGGTCACTCATCATGCGTCGGGTCAGAGGTCCCTCGTCATGCGTCGGGTCAGAGGTCACTCATCATGCGTCGGGTCAGAGGTCCCTCGTCAGGCGTCGGGTCAGAGGTCACTCGTCATGCGTCGGGTCAGAGGTCACTCATCATGCGTCGGGTCAGAGGTCACTCGTCATGCGTCGGGTCAGAGGTCACTCATCATGCGTCGGGTCAGAGGTCACTCGTCATGCGTCGGGTCAGAGGTCAGGCGTCATGCGTCGGGTCTGAGGTCACTCATCATGCGTCGGGTCAGAGGTCACTCATCATGCGTCGGGTCAGAGGTCAGGCGTCAAGCGTCGGGTCAGAGGTCACTCGTCATGCGTCGGGTCAGGCGTCATGCGTCGGGTCAGAGGTCACTCGTCAGGCGTCGGGTCAGAGGTCAGGCGTCATGCGTCGGGTCAGAGGTCACTCATCATGCGTCGGGTCAGAGGTCACTCATCATGCGTCGGGTCAGAGGTCAGGCGTCATGCGTCGGGTCAGAGGTCAGGCGTCATGCGTCGGGTCAGGCGTCATGCGTCGGGTCAGAGGTCACTCGTCAGGCGTCGGGTCAGAGGTCAGGCGTCATGCGTCGGGTCAGAGGTCACTCATCATGCGTCGGGTCAGAGGTCACTCATCATGCGTCGGGTCAGAGGTCAGGCGTCATGCGTCGGGTCAGAGGTCAGGCGTCATGCGTCGGGTCAGAGGTCACTCATCATGCGTCGGGTCAGAGGTCACTCGTCATGCGTCGGGTCAGAGGTCACTCATCATGAATCGGGTCAGAGGTCACTCGTCATGCGTCGGGTCAGAGGTCAGGCGTCATGCGTCGGGTCTGAGGTCACTCATCATGCGTCGGGTCAGAGGTCACTCGTCATGCGTCGGGTCAGAGGTCACTCGTCATGCGTCGGGTCAGAGGTCACTCATCATGCGTCGGGTCAGAGGTCACTCGTCATGCGTCGGGTCAGAGGTCACTCATCATGCGTCGGGTCAGGCGTCATGCGTCGGGTCAGAGGTCACTCGTCATGCGTCGGGTCAGAGGTCACTCGTCATGCGTCGGGTCAGAGGTCAGGCGTCAGGCGTCGGGTCAGAGGTCACTCGTCAGGCGTCTGGTTAGAGGTCACTCGTCAGGCGTCGGGTCAGGCGTGGGGTCAGAGGTCAGGCGTCATGTGTCGGGTCAGAGGTCACTCGTCATGCGTCGGGTCAGAGGTCAGGCGTCATGCGTCGGGTCTGAGGTCACTCATCATGCGTCGGGTCAGAGGTCACTCATCATGCGTCGGGTCAGAGGTCAGGCGTCATGCGTCGGGTCAGAGGTCACTCGTCATGCGTCGGGTCAGAGGTCAGGCGTCATGCGTCGGGTCAGAGGTCACTCATCATGCGTCGGGTCAGAGATCACTCGTCATGCGTCGGGTCAGAGGTCACTCATCATGCGTCGGGTCAGGCGTCATGCGGCGGGTCAGAGGTCACTCGTCAGGCGTCGGGTCAGGCGTCGGGTCAGAGGTCAGGCGTCATGTGTCGGGTCAGAGGTCAGGCGTCATGCGTCATGCGTCGGGTCAGAGGTCACTCATCATGCGTCGGGTCAAAGGTCACGCGTTTGGTCAGAGGTCACTCATCATACGTCGGGTCAGAGGTCACTCGTCATGCATGTAGTGGAAAGGGCAACGACGTCGTCCGTGAAAAAAAATATCACTGATCAGCTGAAGGATTTTTGGTCTCAACGTAGCTATATACATGACAGAATAATACACTAGGCTTTTAGGGCCGTGCAGAAACTTGTGAACGATGCTCGTACAGTTGTGCTGTCACCGTTTAGTGACGTCCTTGTATGTTCTGGGAAAACGTAAGTTGTCTGGAGAGTGTCGGTCACAGCGCCTTTTAATTGCTGTTTTTGACCCGGCAATTATTTATTTACAAATTAAAAACTGTGTACAGCCGTTACCGGAAGCCAGTGATTATAGTTTATAAAGTGATACATATAGATATTTTTCCTACAAAAACACAAGGCTTGGCTTCAGAAGGCCTTTATTAACCCCCTGGAGGTGTATGGATGGATTACTGTTATGATGGATGGATCGCTTTTTTGGGCTTCAAAATCTAAAGTAATATTCACTCCCATTATAAAGCTTGGAAGAGCCATTGTTTAATATAACTCTGATTGTGTTAGTCTGAAAGAAGAAAGTCACTAAGGCTAAGTCATGGGGTGATTTTCATTTTTGGGTGAACTATCCCTTTAAGTGACCATTTTGTCTCCAATGTCTGCAGAGTACAGCCTGCTATTATTTTCTAATTTATCTCATTTATAATTATAACAGTAGCGTACTGACAGAACATTGCTTTATTTAGAAGTTAAATTTCACATCAACCTGACTGATAGATATGAGGTGCCATTATTAATTAATGAAACCAAGGTAATTAAATTAATACACATCAGCTGAGATACGAGTTGAGGTAAATCACTGGGGATCAATAGATAGATGCCCTGTGCAACAGTATATAAACATGATTTAATCTCTGAGGGACTGACTGAAGTTTACGGTCTAATTTAAAATATTTAATCGTTTTTTTTTAGAGCAGCACATTATGAGTCTCGACTCCGCTGCATTTTCTCGTATCTTTTATGTGTAAATAAGTCATTAATATTCATGAGTCAAGCCTTCACCATAATAAACGGTAACAATGTCTGCATTTCAGCCAATCAGGTGGGTAAGCGTGACATAACTTGATTAATATTCATTAGACTAGTCTTCGCCACGCCAGGATTGGTCGTGTCGCCGCCCAGGGGGCGGAGCTACATGACTCTTATTATTCATGTTGTCAGGTGAGAGTCGAGCGGCCGCAGTTCGTCCGAAGTTACACCGAAACTTCCCTAATAATGTGGCACTGAAGATGAGTCGACAGCAGGACGAGCAGGGTGTCGTGTTAACCGCTTACACCAGCAACACTGAAGCCGTGCTGAGAGCAAAGGAAGAGCAAACGGAGTTTCTAGGAGCGAGGTGAGGAATCGCATGAACGCATTCATTTATTACCCAGAGCAGTGTGCACTATTTATGGCAACTGTATCCTAGGGCTGTGTCTCAAACCGAGTGAGGTGGGCGTCATATAACTTACGTGCGCCACCATGCTGCCTAGCTAGGCATTACACAGCCCTAGTGTTCAGCTCTGAAGATGGACAGAGCTTGTGCAGGTTTTGTGGAAGTGTGTTAAGCAGCTTCTGGTAACCTAATACTGCTGTTGAGTTGTGTTTGGTATATTCGTGTGGTCAGATCTACTTCAGCTTTTGAGGGATTGTGTAGGCTAGTATTTGGGAACTTGTTCTGTATATTGCTTAAAAAGGCAGGCTAGGTGATTTGTTCCAGATTTTGTTGTTGTTGTTATGCTGGTTGAAAGTCTCTTCAAATCCTGACAACAATCACTAAGTTTAGTGGTCTAAATGTGTGTGTGTGTGTGTGTGTGCATATATGGAAGGCATAGGACCATAAAATGTTCGTCCAATCATTGTATTCGGTCCGAATGCAGTGATACGATGTCCTACCTGCCTGTCAGCGTATGTATGTTCATACCTCCACGCACCTGCTCGCGCACACATCAGCGCCATCAGTGTGTTTCATGCTGTGCAGAGTTAGGGCCGTTCATTATTATTGTAATGTTATGTGCTTTGAGACATGAGGTATTTTAAAGGCACAATATGTAAGATTTTTGGATTAAAATATCCAAAAACCACTAGAACAGTGTTGATTTGTGTAGTAACATTATCCTAAATGTTTCCAAGAATGATTAAATCCAGAGAAATCAAGTTAAAAGCAATTTTAACCAGGACACGGACCGTGTCATTGCGTCGCCTATCAATGACATCAAACCTGTGTTACCCCCGATTTCCGGTTTTATTTAGTAGAAACCATGGAAACACCAAAGACGCTTTAATATTTTATGTTTTATTAGACAGGTAAGGAACTGTTTGGACAGATTAATCTCGATTTCTTGATCTACCATGAGTACCATGTTTTACCATGCCTAATATCGATCTAGCTCACTGCAGTGTGCATCAAGGGTCTCATAGTTGCCGCGTAGAAGCGAACGCACAGAGTAGCATTATGACTAGGGATGTCAACGATTAGCCTAATCGACGATCGATTAATTGTCGATAACACGTTTAATCGATAAACCTTATCGATCATCGATTAAGCAGGTTCATGCGCGTGCGTGCTGCTCAACCGCGAAACATGTAAGCGAGCGCGCCGGAGTTATGTTTGGGACTATTTTACACCTTCATCATGACTATAAGTTTGCGTGTGCATTCGCTGCCTTTTGTTTTGTGCAAATGTAAGTTGTAATAGTTTATTTTGTGTGTGCCTATCTATATCTGATTTATCTCATATTGGATGCATTTGGTTAAGAATTGACGCAGCGTGATCTTTAGCGCGCGCAGCTCAAATGGCAATGCACGACTAATAACGACTATTGGGACTGTCATATTACATAACATTATAAAGAGAACAATATTGTAATAAAACATTGTGAATTATTTGGGTTTAGTTGCCGTGTCGCGTTGTTCCAGGAAGAGCGCGTCCACAACATGAGTCATTCTGAATGGCACGTAACTTAGTTCAAGTTCACTTGTGCATTCACGTCATTTTGTGCAGATATAATTTGTAATATTATGTTTATTTTGTATATATCTGATTAATCTCATAGGATGCGTTTCTTTGAGTTAAATAACGTGCTAGCAAAGTGCTCAACGGTTAAGTTATTCATTCAGCGCGCGCCGCTCAAGCAGAATGCACGACTAATAACGAGGATTAATTTGGGACTGTCATATTACATAACATGAGAACACTATTTTATTAAATCGGTGTGAATTCATTGGGTTTAGTTGCCGTTTCCAGCGCGTTGTTCCAGGAAGAGCACGTACACAACAGTCACACATTCTGACAAGCGCATCTGAGGCGGCGTTGGTGACACGTTGTATTAGTCGTTATATTTGATTATTAAATATTTAATTTAATTATCAATCACATCGAAACATTTTACAATCCTACTAGCCCTTTATTTAGATTAAAACCATTCTCATTAATTTGGTGAGGAACATAGCGGTTTGAGCAGCATTTGCAGACGCTGTCATGCTGTTGGCCATATGCACTGCAGCAGACGCATATTGCAGTATTAAGGCTAACGATTAATTGATCGTTAATTTAAACGACGATCGATCATGGGAATTTGTGAAAATTGACATCCCTAATTATAACATAACTTTCAACACACTCAAATGTATCTCAACTGTTACCCCACATTTAACACAGTGTCATCAAGCTACACCTTTGTTTTGAATAAGCGACCTCTAGCGGTGAAAAATTTCAGTGTGCCTTTTAACGCCGTCTCTCATGACTCTTTGCAGACGCTTTCAAAGCTAGCTTGCTATTGCTAGCCGCTCTGAAAATTGCCTACCCTACCTTTAAACCAGCTTGTGTCGCACTCTGTTCTGTGTTTGCTGCATTTAAACCAGGCGTGCAGATTTAAATTCATCTTCTACACCCTTAATGTTGACACAATTGTCAGCGTAAAAAATTATACATTACTTCTTACACCATCAAGAAAACAACAACCAAATGAATTCTATTTTGTATTTTTACATTAATATTCTATTTATTAAAACATAGTATATTTCTATTTATTCAAAATAATAACTATAACAATACAGTAATATATATATATATATATATATATATATATATATATATATATTTACTAATGCTAAGAAACAACATAGCTGTTCCTTTTAATAGTCGACTCATTTTTGGATGAAAAGAGCTGGTAAACACTGCAGTTTCATGTGATGAACACAGACACCGAGATAAACCTTTGTTTTCACCAAACTGATCACTAAAAAACCCTCACACATCACATTTGCAAGTCATTTAAGTTTGACAAAGTGGCAAAGCGGTGAAATCAAGTGGGCGAGTTGTTTACTTAATGTTGATTAGTCTTAATAACACCATTATTTAGGCTATTAGGCCGGATTTATCACATGACTTTTAGTCCCCGGTCGCTCTAATCTTGGAGTTTATTAACTTAAAAAACTCTAAACTGATTATTTAAATTTTTTCCTGTTGACTTGTTGGGGTTTACTGTGTTCAATGACTAAACTTCAGCACGAAGTTCATGTTATTCTAGTGTGTGATGTCATTGATGTACGTATTATAACATATTTAAACCGCTTTAATGACCAACGATCAATTGTTCTTTATAATTGGCATCAGCCATGGAAAATCCCACACCAGTCGACCATTAAAGTCGGCATGAAACGGAAGTTGCGACCATCTTTTCTTCTCTATTGTGTCGTATATCGGCGTGAAATGGCTTCAGGAACAAGAGCAAATGTGGGCGGGGCTTGATTGTGTCCGTAGGGAATTGATTGGATGGTTGCGGTTTGCTATTGGTGGATCTGGTGTGATTGACAGGTTATAGCCCCGCCCTCGTCATCAGAGAAGAGAAGAGATGCTGCAAGAGGAAGATATTCTGATTCAAGATTACCAGGAACAGAAATTTAAAGTGATAATGCTGTGCACCGATAAATCATTTATAATAAACACTGCAAAATAAGTCCGTTTTGATTTCTTGGTGCCTTTAACAGAGCCTCTCTAAAGTAAAGTCCACTCTGCGAGGTGTGTGTGTGTGTGTGTGTGTGTGTGTGTGCTCCTCCTGCTGGAGCTGACGGGTGGTGAAACGGGATGCTGGCTGTTGTGTGTGTGTGTGTGTGTGTGTCCTCAGATGTACAGGTGTGTTCCTCGTTCAGCAGCTGCGAGCCCAACTCCCTGTGGGATCCTGTCGGCCGGAGCACAGCGGCCTGAGGAGAAGGTTTCTGTGTTCCTCGTGTGTGTGTGTGTGTGTGTGTGTGTGGCTCTGCTAACTGGCCTTTGGCTGTTTGCTCGGGCATCTGCTTTTTGCTGGTTGTTTGCAGACGGGCCTGTTGTTTAGATTCAGCATGTTTAAGAAAGAAGTTTCTATATTTGGATCTGTGTGGGAGAATAGTCCACCAGAAACAAAGGTCTGTTATATTCCAGCTCAAAATAAAATGAAAAAATTTATATTTTAACTATTTTGCACTGTTATCTTAAGAACGCATTATTGTAATTTATTTCCCTATCAAACTTTCATTGATTGATTTCATGCATCATTCTGCTGCGTTCGCTTATGTTAAAGGTGCTGTATGTATTTTTTGACCGTACTAAAGCATAAAAATACCATAATATGTTTGCAGATTTTAAGGAAACATGCTGAGTTCTCATACTCATCGAGACACTCTTCGAAGCGTGCGTTTCGTGGCAGAATGTCTGTTTTTGTTTTGGTCTGTGTGACTCCGCCCACTGCCAATTTACCCAATAGTGTTTCAACACCCCGGGTTGCCAGTTGGTGGAAAACACAGCATATTTCAGGCATGGACCGGGTCAGAGATCGCAGATTCTGCCCGACATTAAAGCCTCGGCATCTAAAAATCTCTCTGACCAGATGCATATTAAAACAAGGACCGTCGCGGACAGCCGAAGTGTACTTTCCACTGTCAACTGCACTCGCTCCTGTTGCTTGTCCTCAATCTGGCAACCCGCGTGAGCGTCGAGTCTGACACTGTGTCCTAACTACACGCGCGATAAAAGGAGTGTGTGTCCTAACCAGCCGCGACATCGCGCTGGAACAACAAACACAAACTGTGGCAATGATAATCTCAGGTGGTTTATGTGCTTTATTTAATGTTAAAAGCGTGTAATGTGACTTTGAATGTAATTTAGTGCTCCAGCTTTGTAGCTTTAAAAGCAACAACAGATAATTCACCTCAGATTTTGAAATTAAACAAATGGAAACAAGAACGTTCAAACTGTGAACAAACAAGACAAATATTGTTTTAGTAACTCAGTAGCCTATGTATTTTGAATAATGTTTAAATGGTGTAATATTTGTGAATTTGATTATGTAGCCTACCTGTCCATTTTCTTTCAAGATTACTCTCTGGTGCCGCGAGACTCCGCCCACACGCTGTTCTGATTGGCTGTGGGTTTTGATTGATTTTGACGCATCTCGCAGTCGCGTGTGGACAGACAAATTATTTGTCGCTGGAATCTTATCTCATCGCGTCTGGTTAGGACACGGCGTGAGGAGGAGCGGCAGGGAAACAACTCTCTCTCCAATGTTTTGAATTTGGTCGAACAGGACCCGGATCTCAGACTCCAATCATAAAAATGAAATTTACGGAATGGCGCAAAATTTGTATGAATAAATCAGACGTAGGGCTGAACACTTAATGAACTGGCGATATGGGCGAGTGTGTGTGTTAATATTAAAGACTGCTGTGTAAATCTGTGTCAGTTTGCTCTACTACACAAACTCAAACGTGTGTGAACTTCATCTCCAGAGCTGCTCTGAGAGTCACTGCAGCATTTCACCAATTCATCTGAGAAAACTATCGGCAGACTCACACACAAACTCTCAGCTCTTCACCGCAATACGCCAAAATAAAAGTTCAGAAAACTATCGGCAGACACACACACACACACACACAAACTCTCAGCTCTTCACCGCAACACGCCAAAATAAAAGTTCAGAAAACTATCGGCAGAAACACACACACACATACACACACACACACACACACACACACACACACACACACACACACACAAACTCTCAGCTCTTCACCGCAACACGCCAAAATAAAAGTTCAGAAAACTATCGGCAGACACACACACACACACACACACACAAACCCTCAGCTCTTCACCGCAACACGCCAAAATAAAAGTTCAGAAAACTATCGGCAGACACACACACACACACAAACACTCAGCTCTTCACCGCAACACGCCAAAATAAAAGTTCAGAAAACTATCAGCAGAAACACACACACACATACACACACACACACACACACACACACACACACACAAACCCTCAGCTCTTCACCGCAACACGCCAAAATAAAAGTTCAGAAAACTATCGGCAGACACACACACACACACACACACACAAACTCTCAGCTCTTCACCGCAACACGCCAAAATAAAAGTTCAGAAAACTATCAGCAGACACACACACACACACACACACACACACAAACACTCAGCTCTTCACCGCAATACGCCAAAATAAAAGTTCAGAAAACTATCAGCAGAAACACACACACACATACACACACACACACACACACACACACACACACACACACACACACACACACACACACACACACACACACACACACACACACACACACACACACACACCTCAGCTCTTCACCGCAACACGCCAAAATAAAAGTTCAGAAAACTATCGGCAGACACACACACACACACACACACACACACAAACTCTCAGCTCTTCACCGCAACACGCCAAAATAAAAGTTCAGAAAACTATCAGCAGAAACACACACACACATACACACACACACACACACACACACACACACACACACACACACAAACCCTCAGCTCTTCACCGCAACACGCCAAAATAAAAGTTCAGAAAACTATCAGCAGAAACACACACACACATACACACACACACACACACACACACACACACAAACACTCAGCTCTTCACCGCAACACGCCAAAATAAAAGTTCAGAAAACTATCAGCAGAAACACACACACACATACACTCTTAGCTGTCCATCGTGTTCGATGATGACACTTGCTCCAGGGGTGGGGGTGGGAGGGGGGTTGGGTTCAGCGACCTTGCCGCTGGTGCCACTTCTCGTGGGCGTAGAGTCCGATCCTTGAGCCGCACACTCGTCCGCAGATGGAGCAAGGGAAACCAGATGCCAGGGGGGTACCAGCCGCCCACTGGTGTCTCTTGATGCGCCTCTCGGATCGTCGGTCTTGGTTGTTTTGGTGTATTTGAGAGACTGCAGTGGCACAGGTGACCTGCCAGGCAGATCTGTCGAGTGCCAAAGATTCAAGCTGCGTAAGGGGGATGTTCGCTCGCTTTAGGATGACCCTGGTGTAGTCCTTAAAGCGCCGCTTTTGCCCTCCAGCGGACCGCTTTGCGCCCATTAGTTGACTGTAGAGGACTTGGCGGGGCAAGCGGTGTTCAGGCATACGTATGGTGTGCCCTATCCAGCGCAGATGTTTTTTGGCCACAGCTGCTTCCATACAGATTGAGCCAGTGTTGCTGAGGATGACTGTATGGGGGATTCGGTCTTCCCAGGACAAACTGAGGATCTTCTGTAGGCAGCGAATATGGAAGGCCTCCAAGGTGATGATGTGCTGGCGGTATGGGGTCCATGACTCTGCCCCATAAAGCAGAGTGGCAAGACATACCGCGTTGTAAACAGCGACCTTGGTACTGATCTTCAGGTTACGGTTTTCAAAAACCCTGCTGCGTAGGCGTCCAAAAGATGACGAGGCTTTATTTATCCGGGTGTGTATTTCTGTATCAAGTGAACAGCATGAGGACAGAGTGGAGCCGAGATAGGTGAAGTGGTCCACTGTTTTAAGTGGAACACCATTTATATGAAAACTGGGGGTTGTGAGGGCGGGGGTGGTGATATGGGACATGACCTCGGTTTTTTTAATGTTGACCTGTAGGCCAAAGGATTGGTACAGACGGGATATTGTGTTAAGGGCGTGCTGCATAGAGTCCGGACTGTGGGCTAAGACGGCACAGTCATCAGCGTACTGAAGCTCACAAATTTGGCGGGTCTTTGTCTTAGTGCGGGCCTGTAGCCGACGGATGTTGAAAAGGCTTCCGTCAAGTCGGTATTCCACATGGACACCGTCTTCACGTCCCATGACACGGTGGAAGAGGCAGGTGATGGCAGAGAGGAGGATGTTAAAGAGCACCGGAGCCAAGACACAGCCTTGCTTCACCCCAACGCTTACCTCGAAAGACTCTGACTGGAGTTCTCCCATAAGGACTCTGGCTTGCATCCCATCATGCAGCTGCTTTAGGATGCTGAGAAACTTGTGTGGTACCCCAAGTTTGGAGAGGTGTTTCCAGAGCAGTTCACGGTTGATGGTATCAAAAGCTTTGCTGAGGTCGATGAAGGCAACGTAAAGGTCTTTGTGATGTTCTCGGCTCTTCGCCAAAATAAAAGTTCAGAAAACTATCAGCAGAAACACACACACACATACACACACACACACACACACACACACACACACACACACACACACACACACACACACACACACACACACACACACACACACACACACACACACACACACACACACACACAAACCCTCAGCTCTTCACCGCAACACGCCAAAATAAAAGTTCAGAAAACTATCGGCAGACACACACACACACACACACACACACACACAAACACTCAGCTCTTCACCGCAACACGCCAAAATAAAAGTTCAGAAAACTATCGGCAGACACACACACACACACACACACACACACACACACAAACTCTCAGCTCTTCACCGCAACACGCCAAAATAAAAGTTCAGAAAACTATCAGCAGACACACACACACAAACCCTCAGCTCTTCACCGCAACACGCCAAAATAAAAGTTCAGAAAACTATCGGCAGACACACACACACACACACACACACACACAAACTCTCAGCTCTTCACCGCAACACGCCAAAATAAAAGTTCAGAAAACTATCGGCAGACACACACACACACACACACACACACACAAACTCTCAGCTCTTCACCGCAACACGCCAAAATAAAAGTTCAGAAAACTATCGGCAGACACACACACACCCTCAGCTCTTCACCGCAACACGCCAAAATAAAAGTTCAGAAAACTATCGGCAGACACACACACACACACACACACACACACACACACACACACACACACACACACACACACACACACACACACACACACAC